CTATTTTTTGATGCATATACCTCATTTTGAAAAATTTCTACCGATTTATTTAAATCTGCAAGCGATTCTTCATACCTTTTCATTATGTAATATACAGCTCCACGATAACTTAATGCAAATATATTCTTTGGATCAATTTCCAATGATTTATTTAAATCTACAAGTGACTCTTCATATCTTCCCATTATAAGATAAAGATCTCCACGACTCTTTAATGCAAATGCATCATTTGGCTCGACTTTTAATAATTCATTTAAATCTGCAAGTGATTCTTCATATCTATTCGTCAAGAGATAAGTTACTCCACGACATTGTAATGCAAACGCATTATTTGGTTCGACTTCTAATGATTTATTTAAATCTGCAAGTGATTCTTCATATCTGCCCATCCTTCGATAAGTTTCTCCACGAATCATTAATACACGTACATTATTTGGTTCAAATTCTAATAATTTATTTAAATCTGCGAGTGATTCTTCATATCTTCCTATTATAAGGTAAGTTGCTCCACGATTGCTTAATGCAAATGCATTATTTGGTTCGATATCTAATGATTCATTTAAATCTGCAAGTGATTCTTTATATCTACTCATTATGCGATAAGTTTCTCCACGACTTCTTAATGCGTTTACATCATTTGGATTAATTTCTAATAATTTATTTAATTCTAAAAGTCTTTTATCATATTTACTCGATTCATCATAGCTTAATAATGATAAATCATTATTAAAAGTTAAATTCGCTAGTTGTGAATCAACTAGAAATTTATTTAATCCTAAACTAATTTGATCAATTTCATGAGCTAAATTTTGATTATTATCTTGTTTTTCAATGAATGCCTGACTATAATTTATAATTAAATTTTCCAAATCCGAAAAGACTTGCCGAATATCTGGACGATTATTAGGATCATGTTGCCAGCAATCTATTTATTAATTAAAATTGAAAGCCCAAAATCTATAAGTTTAATACATCTTTGATGAACAAGTATATTGTCTGAATGCTATCGAAAATTATAAAAATATTTATGTTATTAAAAATATTATTATTATAAAAAAGCGTTATTTGAAAGACAAATTACCAGATCACGATGAACTATATCATTAATATGTAAACATTTAACTGCGTCGGTAATTTGTAACGCAAAATTAATTTTATCTTTCCAAGAAAGATATTTAAATTTATCTTTTAAATATGATTTTAGATTACCACCATCAGCATATTCAAGAACAAGCATGTAATCTGTAGAACCCGGATTAAGTTTATCTATTTAATATGTAATAATATTATATATTGACATGTTATTTATTATTATATAGTCAAATAAATCTTTTCATAAAAAAATTTTTTTGGTAATTTATAAATTAAATTATTGACTTCACCATTCTTAGTAGCACCAAGTAATCGTATAATATTAGAATGTATATCCACGCTACGATGCAATTTAAGCTATGCAGATAATATTTTACAAAAATCATTAATATTATATAATTATGGTACAAAATATTAATTAATTAATAAGTTCATTACTTCTTTAACAACTTCCTTAATATCTGGCTTGTTCTTAAATTCTTTTAATGCGACAGTAATATCATGATCTTTGAGAGTAGCACGGTGCACTTTTCCATATCCTCCTTCTACAATAAATTTAATATCCTTAAAGTGAGAATATTCATAAAATTTAATATGCACTTCTTCAAGGCATTTTTGAATTAAGTCATTATTGGATTGGTTCATAGTTAATATCAAAGTAGTAATGTACAAATATTCGATATCTAAGATAGATACACACGGAATCGATCCAATTCTTACCAGTTTTAGGCGTTAAAAAACTCAAAAATAGTTCAGTAGTCGATTTTATATTTGATCCACTGCACAATAGATAACACATCGAAAAATTTAAGGGTATTCTACCCCAGTTACAAAACATTAATAATCATGACGTTTTTGAATAATAACAATAGTTTAATAATATAATATTTAAATCATTGATATCGCGCAAATCATTAAAATATTTTTAATAATCAACATAGTATATTGTAGGCGTACCGAATAATTGATTGTGAAGAAATTAATTGTCAATTATTTAACTACGTAAACAATTGATTGCTGACTCAACTAAATATTGTCAAATCTCAGAAATTCTAGATTGTATACATCAGTTTTTCACATGACATTGTGATCCGCGGAGGTCGCAATAATTAATTAATTATAAATTATACAATATATATTTTTTATAATAACTTCTTAATTGATTGTATACGTAGTACTGTATAGAGACTCCAGAATGTGTAAGTTTTTAAACCACACTTTCATTTATTCATGCGCACTTAAGTGCTTGTACTACTGATATATTCACTTACTTCTGGGTTCAAATTTTATACAATTGTCTAGTATTTAGTTTTGCTGGATCCATGTCACTTCACCTACATTCACTAGGGAAAATACTTTTTTTAAAAAAAAAAAAAACTCTATCAATTCGGGTGTAGAGTCTGCTAAATTCTTCTAACCTTAACCCAGTCCAAACTCAACTTTATGGTCTGATGTATAACAATCATCCTCATACCAATCTTATCTATGAATTTGCTGAATCATCTCAAACTCGAATTTAATCATTACACTACGTTTCTGGTATTTTTTTTTTCAAATTCAGATTGCTATAAGTTATTATATATCCCGGGTAGTAATATAACAGCATTTCTATTTAAATCTAAGGCGAGACCAACGTGATTCTGTGTTATACATTACTCCCCTTTCCACAATGAAGGTGGGAGGGGAATTGCTATAGGATTTACATGATTTACATAGTAAAATTAAAAAATTTTTTTTTCGAAACGTTCTGTAACTATATAAGCCCATAACCCAATACACGTATATTTATCAATTTTTTTTTTTTACTATGAGGGAGAGGGGGATGCTGAGGATGAGGAGAAGGAGGTAGTCTCACCTAATTATTCATTTGACGTATGTGCAGCTTTAGATTGAATTGAACATGAACATTAGTGTAGAAATTCTTAGAATCAAAGTTAAAACTTATAATATCTATAATTATAAATTGGCTTGAATAAAAACGATATCAATAATTATAAAATAATAATATATAGACCCGTGGGTTGATAGAGCGGTGGTTAGCACTCTCAGGTCACAATAGCAAGGTTGTGGGTAGTGATCCGCACGGATCGGATCGGACGGATATTATTAAAGATCCGAACCCGATCCGACAAATCGGATCGGATCCTAGTTAAGATTCGAATTTGGATCAAAGATCCGGATCCGGATCCTATATAATGTCACATGAGAGAATTGGGTTCCGAGCTTTCTTTCCGGAACCATATAACTTAGCCGCAGTCCAATTTTACGGCTAA